ATGGTGGACGAGGCTCCCAAGCCATGGAAGCCCCCAGCTGGCGTTGGCTCATGTCAGAAAACACTTGCTATGAGCAAAGAAAAAGACTGCAGGGAGTTGGGACGTCTTCTATTTCTGTATGGTTGGTCATGAGCACAGTTATCTTTATGAAAACCTTGTAGGCAAAATGGGTATTAGAACCATACTGTTAAACCCAAGCCTTCTGGTTCTCCTGTGTTAAATAATAGAAAGTTTAGTTTTGACTGAGAAAAGACTTATTGCATGCTAAGGATGACAAGCAAATAACCAGTCATAAGAAATTTCTCCTGTCACAAGTGCAGTTCAGGCTGCCGTCATAGGTTAAGGTTGGCAGTAGTGTCAACCTGGGGACGTGGGCTGTGTTATTACATGGTCAAGACCAGACTTTGGAAAGCTGGGCTCTTCTTACGGTGCTGATTCTGGCTACTGCACACCTCAAACATTTTCTGTCTCCAGCTCTCATCTCTACCTCTAATCTATAATTTTTCTTCCTTACTTCTGAATCATGATTCTAAACTCACTTTAGGTTGGAGTGACTTGTTGTTCCTACCAAGCTTTTAAACTGAAACTATAGAATAACTCCTGGTTGAGCACATTCTTGTGTTCTTTTTATGGGACAGGATTTACCTGCCAATAGGTTGTTGAAGCGCCACATAAAAACATATGCTCCATGCAGGACAGCCCAGAGGATCTTGGGATGAATTTGCCTCAAGACAGGAAGCATCTGTCACAACTGAGACCTTTCCTGTTGAGTAGCTTTGTACTATGTACGCCGACACTGGCAATCCCTGGAATGTTGGACATGGCGCTGCCAACATGATGGGTTGATGTTATTCTATTCAGAAAGACAGCTTGTTTTTCTTGAATAGAGGCTAGGCTTGTTGATGTTTCCTCATCATTAAAGCAGAAGGAGGTTAAGAACTGGGTGCTTCTCCAGGAAGCACTAGACATTCTGAGAGTCTCTGGGGATTTAAAGCAGCTCTCAGTGGCCTTTAGAAGGACTTCCTCTTCAGGGCTGTACTTTCCACCCAGAAGATGGAGAGTTGAGTCACTATGGACACAAGGAGAAAGGGAGGGGCAAAAAGTGAAGGCTTTATATTTCCTTTTGATTGACAAAGCTCCAGTCTAACTTGCCGAACTGTCCACTTCACCACAGGAAAGCAACAGAGGTAAAGAGAAATGTGTCTGTACTTTATTATCTCAGCTGTGCTTGTTGTCAAAAGAGAACAGATAAGAGTAAAATGGGGAATTTGGACAGGTTGTGTAATAAACCAAATGAAGGTTCATTAATTGAGTGTGGCTTTTGCTGACTCCTTGGTAAATATATCAACATGTCTGCATGTTCTTGATTGTGTACATTTAAAAATCTTTGAGGCAGGATGACTTGATTTCAAATCTCTGATTTATATAGTAAAATGGAGCTCTGTTGGTATTTTTACTTATTAATCATCCTTATTCAGAACAGAGCTTTTCACACAAAGCTGTGACCTTTATTGATGAAGCATTTGTTAGCTCCTTAGGCGACCTTAACTGCACTGTACTAACCTTATTAATTTTTACGTGTTGGAGAGAAATTCTTTATTTTCCTGGCTCTCAGTTTCCTCATATGCTTTTAAAATTAGTCTCTTAAATGATACATATATTCTGTACATGGATGTAAAGTGTCGTGGCTTGTTTGTGTGAGCATTCTGAAATTCCTACTAGTTCCAGGAATGAGCATATGTGAAGTTTACAAAGTTTGAAGGACAGAGAGTGAGAACATAGGAATAGCTCTGATTTAGGGAAGGGGAGGTAGGCACTAGGTCAGTTGTCATGAGAGAAGAATCTTGTGAATGGGTAAGAAGCTATCCAGGCTGTGTTCTAGGTTATTAAGAAGCTGGTGTCTTGGAGATCTACCCTTGGAGATGTATTTACCCAAGATGTACCTTACCCAAGAAGGACAGACCCAGACCCTCTGTGCCTTTGCAGTCTTTTAATGTCAGTATCCCATACTGAGACATATTCCCTTCCTTAAATACCCCGAACAGTGTTATGTCTTCTGTAAACCCTCCTTCTTAACCTAGAGGGGCTATAGCCTTAGACATCTTTCTTTTCTTCCCTTTCTCCTGTAGCAACTTCCAGATACCACATCTCATTTGCTTGGCACTTTATGTGTACCATAAAACACATAGAAAGTTACACTCAAGGAAGTTATCTGCAACTTTTTCTAGCTCTAAGGACTCAATTTGAAGCTCTTCTACCTGCAGCACACACCCAACTTTCCCTCACCACCTGAGTGGGGCCTTGCTGGGAGTTCATACGTCTTTGATAGGATTCTATGTGCCTTAGGACTTCCATCTTTCATGGGATCTGCTTCCCCAAAACTAACTAGGCAACATTAATTAGCCCTGACATTGTAAAATATTTGGAATGTTGATTTCTGTAATTTATATTGATTCCTGGGTGATTGTGGAAGACACTTCTTCTGTTAAGACGGCTCTTCCTACATGTATACACCTGGATGAGTAGTACCTTATTCTTCAAAGAAGAAAAGGGACATTATCTCCTTTGGGCAGTCCATTGTAACTCTCAGGTTGGCTCTGTGTCTCTTCTTTGTGTTTTCAGAATATTCTATGCACACCAGCAGATCATAGTACTTATTGGATTAAAATTCCTTTCTTCATTTCTTCCTCCTGCAGATCTTTACTGAGTGGCTAGTCTATGGCTGGGGCTTATCTAGGTGTTGGAACAAAGTGTAAAAAGAAAAAAAAAGTCCTTGCTCTAATGGAGATGGTACTCTAGAGGGAGGGGGGATTAGACAGTGAATACATGTGTAGTAACTGAAGTGGTAATATGATGAAAAATTATGATAATGGGATGTAAGAGTGTGGGCTGACATTTCAGATAGAATAGTCAAAGAGAGCCCCACTGATAGAACCCTATTCAATAGAGAGATAAATGAACTGCTGGAGTGGTCTATTTGAATATCTCTGGGGAAAGCATCCCAGAAGAGGGATAGAAAGTGCAAAGGCCCTGAAGTAGAATGTAATTAACATGTTAAAGGAATTCAAGGAGCTGACATGGCTTAAGCAGAGTGAGCTGGTGGGAGAGTGGTAGGACATGAGGCCTGAGAGTTGGCCAGGGCCAGATCACAGAGTGTCTTGTTGGTCTTGGTAAGGACTTTGGCTTCTTCTTTGACAGAAAGGGAAGCTACTGGAGATTTTGAGCACAGAAGGACAGGGGACATATCTAATTGATTTAAAAATCATCATTCTAGCTTCCCAGAAAATATCAGGGAGAAGAGCAAAGACTGGAGTAAGAGGAAGAGTTAGGAGACTATTTCAATAATCCAGATGAGGGAAGATGGTAGCTTTGACCAAACAGGTAAAACTGGAGCGGGTGAGAAATGGGCAGATGGTAAGTCTTTTGGAAGACAGGGAAAACAGGATTTTTTAATACATTGAATGTGAATAAGAATGAGACATTATTTAAGGATGATCTCAAGGTCTTTGGCTTGAGAAAATGGAATAATGGAATTGCCATTAACAGAGGTGAAGACAGCCATGGGGACAGAGGAGAGAGGAGTTAGAAAGTTAAAAGTTTGTTTTCAGACATGTTAAATGTGAGATATCTATTAGATATTCAAGTGGAGATGCTGCGTAGGCAGTTGGATATATGGGTCTGGAATTCAGGGGTAGGATAAATTCAGGAAACAAGAGAATATCAATGACATTGAAGGCATGAGGTTGGGTGAGATCACCTGGAATATGAATATAAATAGAGAAGAGACCCAAGATCTTAATTCTGTTGTATAATGATGAATAGAATTTGAAAATTAAAAGATTCTGCAAAAAAAGACTGAGAAATAATGGCCAAGAAAGAAGGCTGTGAACCAAGAGACCTGGAAGTTAAAGGAAGAAAGTGTGGGATGCCAACAAGGCCAGCTGTGAGGGCAGGAACTAGTCTTTATCATTTTCGTATCTACCCCTACAGTTAGCGGTGCTCATTTGTTTGTGGAACTGAGTAGAATAAACTCTTCTTTCCTGACATACTCTTGTCCTAAGATAACACATATTCTAGAATCATCTTTTCATCTCTTTGAGTTTCCATTTCCATTCCTTTATTTTCACAACATCACATCTGTGACCCAGGGCTGAGGATTCTGACTGCCTTCTTATGGCATGACTTACTCATTGGTATCTTTCACTTTTGTGGAGGGGTGTAGGGAATGAGATCCCACCAAGGAGATGAAAATATGCACAGAATTTTGTCCAAATTTGCTTTATTGACTATCAATTTGTTTATGCAAAAATGACCAGGATGGAGATGTTCTCTACTTGTAAAGCTGTGAAAGTGGGCAGTCTAGTGAGAAAATACCACACTTGGCTGAGCTTATGTAGCTCAAGAATTTTTCTGCACAAATTCCAGGATGAGGAATGTCTTAAAGCATGGAAATTAAGAGCATGAAGATACAATGTCTTCTGTTCTTTTGCTCCAGAACAGTTATAGATCATTTTTAAATATACACAAATGAGCCTGGGCAACATAGTGAGACCCCATCTCTACAGAAATTTTAAAAATTAACTGGGTGTGATAGTGTGTACCTCTTGTCTCAGTTTCTCAGGAGGCTGAGGTGGGAGGATGACTTGAGCCCAGGAGTTTGAGGTCACAGTGAGCTGTGATGAGCCACACTGGATGACCTTGTCTCTAAAACACACGCGCGCGCACACACACACACACACGCATACGTACACAGACACACAAATGATAGTGAGATAACTTTGAAGTATTAGAAGAAATAGTAAATCTTCTATTTGTTAGAATATAAAACTACCATGAATTTCCCCTTCTAGCATTTACTAATTTCTTAGAAATTATGATAAGGGTACGTAATTTTTCATGAAGCAGTGTGCTTAGACACTTCATGAATTGTAATAACTGAACTTTAGATATTATCTGTACCTTCAGGTGATATTCTGAGATATTTCCCCTTCTGTTCACAGGCAGTGCTTGGCATAAAAATGGGTTCCCTCAGCACAGCAAATGTCGAATTTTGCCTTGATGTGTTCAAAGAGATGAACAATAGCAATGTAGGAGACAACATCTTCTTCTCTCCACTGAGTCTGCTTTATGCTCTAAGTATGATCCTCCTTGGTGCCAGAGGAAACAGTGCAGACCAAATGCAAAAGGTATGGAAGGCAGCAGAGAGTTGCCCAGATCCCAGCTTACTTCTATCTTTGTACCAAGAAAACTCTGCCATTTTGTGTGAGAAAAAAAAAAAACACATTTGAGAAAATCATATTTCTTAAAAATGCATAATGGCTTAAATAATGTAGTACATTGTAATGGAACATATGTCAATACATAGTCTCTTTCTTACTATCAGTGGTATCAGAAATAAATTTCTGTAGCTTACTTTTAGAGTTCATCGTTTCATGATTTAAATGTGATAGACAACACAGGTATGGCACTACTATTGTCTTCTAGAAGGTTAAACTTATGATAAAACTTAATGATATTTTAGAAGTTACCACATTTAAACAATTTTTTTCATTATTGCATTTGAACTTCATTGTAACCCTGTGTGGCAGGTTGGGACTGTTATCACCATTTTATAGATGGGAAAACCGAGACTCAGAGAGGAAAGGTGACTTTTCCGTTTACATGGGCTAACATAACTGATTTTTCCATTATATATATTTTTATCGCTGTGGAAGGTTTAGAAGAGTATCACTTAACAACTCTTGGGATACTTGCACATATTATTATTGTTTGTGCTGGGAACTATGCAACATCTTGCATGGCCCAAAATGGTGCTGTCCTAGTTAATGGCCTAAGGACAGTAGGAGAGGGGCAGAAGAGCCCAGTGGGTAAGAGGTCAGTTTTTGGAAAGTGACAATTGTCTGGGGAAAGCTGCTTGATCTCTCTTGACCTTAATTTCCCTAACTTAAAATGGAGACAATAGTATCTATTCATAAAGTTGTTGGGAAGGTTAAATAAGATATGTAGAGACTTAATTCAGGGCCAGGCACAGTGGATCACGCCTGTAATCCTTGCACTCTGGGAGGCCCAGGCAGGAGGATTGCTTGAGCTCAAGAGTTCAAGACAAGCCTAAGCAAGAGTAAGACCTCATTTCTACTAAAAAATAGAAAAAATTAGATGGGCATAGTGGTGTATGCCTGTAGGGCACGGTGGTGCATGCCTGTAGTCCCAGCTACTTGAGAAGCTGAGGCAGGAGGATCCCTTGAGCCCAGGAGTTTGAGGTTGCTGTGAGCTAGGCTGATGACATGGCACTCTAGCATGAGCAACAGAGTGAGACTCTGTCTCTAAATAAATAAATAAATAAATAAATAAATAAATAAATGTACTTAATTCAGGACTTGGAACATATGAATATTAAATGTTAGCTATAACTATTGGTGTTTATCTGAAATAGAAAAAAAAAAGATAGTAACAACTGGCCTTATCTGAAATAGAAAAAAAAATTGATATTAACCATTATCCATTGCTTTTGGTGACAGTTGATCCCCCCTCCTTTTTCTTTTTTTAGGTGCTTCATTTTAATCATATTGTGGAATCGTTAAAACCAGAATTTAAGAACTCACCTCAGGTATGATAATATCATTGCTGAGCTGTCTAATGCTCTTTAACATGAGTGAGCCAAGAAATAATAGTCCAGGGGTTGAGTAGCAGAGTCCCCCCCTCTGGCCCATAAGGGAACTAGTCATGTCTCCTCCTTTAATCTTCCTGATAATCACTACAGCCTAGAGTTTAAGACGATAATAATATGATAATAATAACAATAATAAAGTTCTCCAGATTTTATTACCTGATTTATTGTCACCCGTATTCAAACTTTTCTGTTCTTTTATAGACATGTCCCTCTTGAATCTGCCAGCCTTGTTTTTGTGGCGTTAGATTTTTTTTCTGTCCAGTGAGAGGGATGAAAGGAGCCTGAGGCATTGCCATATAATCATATACTGGGAAAACATGGCCTGATGCTGCCTAACCCACATGCTCTGGGACTATGGTCTCTAGTTTTTTCCAGTAGAAGGATTCACTTTGACATCAAAGTTACAAAGAATTCCTACATGAAAATAGTTGTGTTTGATCATGATTGGTTGAGGTATATAAATGCATATAGATTCACAGAACATGAGCTTCACAGAACCCAACTTATTATTAGGAGTTCAAAGCCCATAATTTGGGAACCATTGTTTTAGGAAGTATAGGCATCACCCCTATAATGACCCTGAATTCTCAGCTATCCTTTAAGTGCATCAAAGATTCATGCTTATCAGAATTGCTACCACTGAGCTGCACATGAGTGTGTAAAGTCAGGCCAGTTAGGGGCTGAAGTGTTTGAGTAAATGACTACATAGAAAACTGAAACACTGAAAAAGTGTGATACAAAAAAGAAATAATTCTATAAGTACAAAGAGGGCACTAAGACTTAGATTATTGCCTTCAATGCTCCACTAGAATCTATTTATGAAAACTGCTTTTGTTTTTGGGGGGACAGATTTTTTAAAATTATATTTTATTTTTAAGTGACAAATAATAATTGTATAAATTTATGGGGTTTAATGTGATATTTTGATACACGTCTACATTGGTATATACTATAGAATGATCAAATCAGGCTAATTAGCATCTTTATCACCTCAAATATTTATCATTTGTGAAAACTGCTTTTGAATCAGACCATTAGGGCCAACAAGTACACGTGTGTTTTGCAATAGCTTACAATTCTGCACCCAAACTGCAACCCAAGTCAGAGAGTGATGAGATGTGCTAGAGAAAACCTAGAGAAAAGAAATGCTTTAAACTTTTTGATTCCTTGTATCCATGGCCCTTTTATTCAGAGACAAACACTTTGCTCTTTAGATGTTGTTTTCACCTTTTTAGAGCTCTTCAATGAAAAAAAAAATTTTAGTACATTTTTATTTGTTTACTAATGCTTCAGTGCAGCCAAGCTGGAAGGATTCATTCAGAGCTTGGTGTCCTATTCTCTCAAATCAACCAGCCAGATTCTAACTATACCCTCAGCATTGCCAACAAACTCTATGGAACAGAGACAATGGCATTCCATGAGGTAAGTTCATATGGAATGGTGGTCAACAACTTTCTTGATATCCTGTAAATTTCATGCTATAAAATTAGTAAAGAGTAAGAATAGTCACATGTTATTTAACAGATTGAATTTGAGCTGAGTTAGAATTTCAAGAGAATGGTTTTACCAAAACTCTCAATTGCGTTGTGTGCTGTCTAGGGGATGGACATGCTTGAAGCTCTGACTAGGGCAGGGCAAAGGCAATATGTGTAACCTAAACATTTGTACCCCTGTAATATGCTGAAATAAAAAAAAAATTAAAAGTTGCAAAATATCATATAAAAATTTTATTTCTGAAAAATGCTTAAAGCTGTCCAAAAACCAGGGATGGGTAAGACTTATCCCTTATGGACCAAAAGAAAAACAAAAACATCATTTTTCATATCTTCTTCAGGGGTCCTAAGTGGCAGAATACGAAGAGATAGTTAAAAGTGTACCACACTGGGAGTCAAGAGCTGAGAGTTCTGTCCCTGTTTAGATGTATGACTTTGGGCAAGTCATTTCTACCTTTAATTAGACAATTAGACTAAGTCCTTTCTAGCTCCAAAATTTTAATACTCTTTATGCCCTTTCCCAACAGCATCGTAATATGTAGTTTTATTGAGTGTTTACAATGTGCCTATCATTCTATTTAATACATTACAGTCATTATCTCAAATAATCCTTACATTGTGCTAAGATACAGGTACAAAATTTTCATTAATTCTATAGACTATGAAGCAGATTCTAAAGAGTCAAGTTGACAAAGTTTGCAGAGATACCTAAAGGGCCAAACCTGGATTTGACCCATATCTAAATCCATCTTCCTGTGTTTAATTGCTAAGTCATCCTGCTGTGATTGAGGTGAAATGCAAGCTTTTTACTTGACCAGTGTTTTGTTTGACCCAGTGCCAGCAAGGTGAAGCTGGATGAGGCCCTGAATTTCTACTGTTCTTCCCAGCCTAGTAGCACAGATTGTGTGTTAGATGTGATAAGCTTCTGATAGTTAGAATTTTTGCAACTTGGGGTGGGTAGCCCATGTTGGTGCTATAGACATTTCAGGGCTGTTTTCTTCTATTACCCACGAAGCATATAGGGGGATTGTTTATGGAGAGTGTCTGAGGTGGTGGGGATTAATAATGATGGTCCTTGGAGTTGGAATGCTGTCTCTCATCCCTTTGCCTTCCCAAAACAGTGTGCCAGACATAACAGTAGATAAATGTTGATTTGGGATGGTGATGATTACATCTGTTCCTGAAATGAGAAACTCTTCCCTCATTAGTATCATGAATATTGTCATGAACTATGTCATGAGATCCATTTTACTCTCTTAGGATTCTGGCTGGAAAAACTCTCACTTTATGAGTTATGGGGAGTTACTTAAGGATATTTCAGTTACAATAGGACTCAGCTCAGGAAAAGAATCATCTCGAGGCCTAGTTTTTGCTCTTAGTTAAGCTTTACTTTTTTTCCAACCAAGAATTAAGCAAAAAAAAAGCCAGTTAAGGAAAAAAAAAAACAAAACCCAAGCAACCAACTTTAAAACCAACCCAATTCCAAAGCCTGGAACAACCCAATTGGTTCATGATGGGGCACTGGGTCCGGCATGGCTGTGGAGGTGTGGCTCCAAGGTCTTCAGAATGGAATCATAAACAATTTCATTTGCATCCACGTAGATTTGGCTGCCGCCTTGGCACAAGGCAGGGGGAATTTACTAGTTCTAGGAATCAAGAGCCATGAGTGGTAATCAATGGTGGCTCCAGGATGCTACTTGGGACAGGCGTGTGAGTAAGAATTTAGTTAAAAGGGAGGGCTAGGTTCTTTAGGTGTGAGTTTACACACCACTTCCACTTAAATAATGTGTTATAGGTGAAAAAATAAGATAGTGAGTTCCTGAAGACATTTTTGTTTATACTTTGCATAAATTTGAAAAATATAAGTTGTCTACATCAGAGAATATTATTATTAAATTTATTTATAGTGGCTTATGGGGAGATTGATTTATACCACAGGGAGACCTTCTGTTAGAACTTAGACAAGCAAGTCACTTAACCCTTCTGGTTCTCAGTTTTCCTGTCTATAATGTGAGAGCAGTAACTCCCATTTGTCTACGTTGAAAACAAAAGAGTTGTGGTACAGTGAAAAGGCACTCACTATATTTGTTATTTAACATTTGTCATTTTGTTTTGAATGTTTTAGATTTAAGAAAGCCAACAACATAACAGAAGTAACAACCAAACATTTCTGAACACTCCTTTTGGAAAAGTTTTGGATTTTGTTAAATTTATTTGTTTTATTAAAAATAAGTACATATGAATTCTATTCTCTCTCGTATTAACATATATGAGCTGCTTTTGTCTCTGTGTTAGGATTTTAGAGTACATTGAGCTGTAGATGTTTGTTTTTCTTACACTATTTTTGAGTTGTTTTTTTCTTTTTGACAGCAATATTTAAGCTGTTCTGAGAAACTGTATCAAGCCAGGTTGGAAACTGTTGATTTTGAACAGTCTACAGAGGAAACAAGAAAAACTATTAATGCTTGGGTTGAAAGTAAAACTAATGGTAAGGATAAGTCACATATGTGTCCTAAAACTGTATATGTGTTGTGATGATAAACTCCCTGAGTCAATGTGCTAACAAGGAGGTCTATCACCTGACATAGGCAGATCAACAATGAAGGAAATGTGGCCACATTTCAGATTAGCCCTTATAATAGTTTGTCTTGAATAATGTATGCAAAGTGACTCTGAGAATGAACACCATTTAATACTTTATAGAAGTGTTATTGTATGTTCTGCAATTAAATTTAAATCTACATTTTATAATTTAAAAAACATACATATTATTAAATATTTCCTTTTTAAAATTGTGCATTAAATATTTGATACCAAAGATATGTTCATTTCTTTATTTAAAAACATTTAGTTAAGTTAAAAATTAAGGATATACAAAAGTAGAGAGAATATATAATAAAATCTCATTTACTCATCACTCAACTGTGACATTTACCACTCATGTCCAGTCTTACTCATCTGTACTCTCACCCTTTCCCACCACTGATTTCATACTATTTTGGAGTAAATCCTAGATACCATATCACTTTTCCTATTCGTATTTCAGTTTGTTTCTCTGAAAAATATAGACTTTTAAAAAATACAACCACTACATTATTATCACATCTGTTATTTCATCATTCTTTTTTCTCCCCGACTTCAATGAGCATCAGAATCATCATTCATTTATGTATTTATTCATCCATTCCTCTAAAAATATATATTGAGAACCTAAGGTTAGATATTGTTATTGCATGCTAGGATTGTGTTAGGCCCAGGAAGTTCAATGAAAATTAAAACCTTCATCAAGCTTAGAGTCTGATATTAAAGCTGCCCCTATGTTTCATATGGTATGACGAATTATATTCCAAACTGGTTTTGTAAATTGCAATGTGCCAAAATGCACAAGAGGACAGAGTGTTCAATTTTGACTAGTATATTTACAAAGCAAAAAAATTCTGGTATATTTTTATAAATCTTTTTTTCATTTTAGCAGTTTTTAATGAAATTGGTACCTAAGATTACTCCTGCATCTCCTCAATTGTTCTGTCCTTGTATTTGCCCTTCTCCTTCACTACGTGGCAGCATTTGGCTTTCCGTTCAAGGATCTTTCTGTAGTCTTTGTCCAGTTTTAGCCTAGTGATAACCACCTAGCTGGAGTGAGTGCCCACAGGGACAGTTGTGTCATTCGCCTTTTCCTGCTGCACCTGTTCAACATAGATGACATCTGTCTTCCTTAAATCTGTACTGCTTTGCCAATCTGCTGACTTTGGTAGTGTCATTGCACAACCTGAACTTCATCATCCTTTTGGATGGGCATGAATTGAACATTATACTTCCGTCTCAGCTCTTTGGAAAGAGGGGAGGCCATAACCTTCCTGTGAATGTGGGAAGGTGCATTGAAATATCTTTTGTGGTTTTTGCTTTGGTCAGAAGTCAAAAAAGGATTCAACTTCATTTTGGTGGCTACCACTTTGGCAATGGCTGCAAAAAGGAAGAGCCATTTTTATAAATCTTGATTCCCAGATATGTGTTTACTTCAAGTGCTGTTGTATATTTGTGATATACCAACTCTACTGCATTGAAAAAATGAGTAAAACTTTAAAAATACTTAACATATTTGCATGTAGTGAGGTCCTGGTAAGTAGAAAGCCTGATACATGCTAAAGGTAAGCCACAAAAAAATTATTAAAAAATCTTTCTTAATAATCAGCAATATATAAGAAACATTGGATATAAGTAGGTATAAGACAAGTTGATGCACTACTAATATGCTAGCTACTCTCTGGATGCCATCTTCTAATTAGAATTAACAAAGTATTCAATATTCTTTGAAATAAACTTCATTTGGTAAGGAAGTCTCTGTGGCCAGGAGATAAAGGAGTTCTTCTGGCATCTCAAATTTACCATTAGTGTTAAGAAAGAAATGGGTCCAAATTGCTTATGACTATTCAACTCTGTATTTCAATAAGTTTAAATCCAAATACAATTATCCTTTTTTTTATGTAATACAAGGAAAAGTCAAAGACCTCTTTGGAAAGGGCACAATTGACCCTTCCTCTGTAATGGTCCTGGTGAATGCTATATATTTCAAAGGACAATGGCAAAATAAATTTCAGGAAAGAGAGACGGTTAAAACCCCTTTTCAGCTAAGTGAGGTGAGTATTTCATTTACAGACTCATGACAAATTTTGGATAATGCAATAATCATTTAAGGACAATTTTAAAAGATATAATGGCCCAGGTTTACGTCAGTTCCTTTAATTGTGTTTTCTATGAATTTTCACTTTTCCCCTATTAAGTGACAGTAACCTTTCTCACAGGGCAACTAACTGGAGCCTTTGGACACTAAGATTCCACGGCAGAGAAGAAAACCTATTTTTTCCCTAATATTGTGTCTATGCATTCTTTCCATATATACTGTGGTTATTTTCTCTAACAGCACAATAAAACTATGTGTTATTTTTCTCTAGAGAGTGTCTAATTAGATTAGAAAAATGATCCAATTATATCATTTTACCACATAAATCATTTTAGCTAGAAACCTTGGCTTTGTTTTTGGTAGACCTAAGTTAACTATATATATTATTAAAGCTATTCAGTTGCTAAATATGCCTTATTTTTAAATAAAAAATAATTTTTGCAAAGGAAAATAATAAAGGATATACTTTGTAGTTTCTAGTTTACTCATGCCTTTAGAGTGTTAATGCAAATATTCATGTTATATGAGAGAATGAGTATACATACATAGGAGATCTGTCTAGAAAATATCCAGCCCTTGTTAATATACACATTCCCATTACATGGCTAGATACTTTCCAGACAGACCTTGTATACACTCACATATGTAACTTTACTACCTAACTTAGAATCTTTTTTCTTAAATAGGGTAAAAGTGTAATTGTGGAAATGATGCATCAAACTGGAACATTTAAATTGGCCTTCATAAAGGAGCCGAAGATGCTAGTTCTGGAGCTGCCCTATGTTAACAACAAACTAAACATGATTATCCTGCTTCCAAAAGGCACAACTAATCTAGAACAGGTAAAGTTACAAGAATGCTAGCATGCAGCTAAAGCATGTATGTATGAGTGTGGATGCATGTGCACACGTGCACGCACACACACACACACGCACACACAAACACAGTATCCCATGATGTTAATGCATCAGCCACTGATTCATAGTCTAGGCTTAGATGTATTGGTCTTAGCTGTGAAAATGAAAAAGGGGCGGGGCACATGGACCCTGCTCTTCAGGATAATGTATTTAGGGAGAGCAAGCTATTCTTACATGAAAAAAAGCACATGGAGGTAGAAGTGCCAACTTGTACAAAAACACATACATATTGGTCAGTTGATAACTGGGAGACATCTTTCCATAGTCATGAAATTATAATCCTGGCTGGGTTCCAAGACCAAAGAAATATGATTAAGCCATCTTACTCTCAGGGCAGGATTTATGATCCAGTTGTGACTTACTTTCATAGACTAGCCATTTTAACATCCTGGTTTTGTGAGGAAGTGAGCACAGCCACCATTAAGAAGAGGTCATGGTGGCAGCTGGAGTTTGGGTCCAACCCCTTCCAGCCCCGGCTGCAGCCTAAGCTTTCCAACACAGAGTAGACAAGCCTGTGGAGTGACTATGCCACCTCCCCCATGTAGGGGGATCCTTCAGTGCTCTGCTACAATGACAAACAATTTCTTAGGAGAACAGCTATGCTTCTGGAAACTGATAGAGGTCAACACAGTGAAGGGTTTCTAAGTCAGGGAGTACTGGCTTGAGGTAAAAGCAACATGGCACAGATGGGCAAGAGGGTGTGTAGGGAAGGCTTCTTGGAAGAGCTGGGCCAGGATATATGCATTTGGATTAAAAAGTGAGAGGGGTGCCCTTTAGGAGGGAGCTGTAATGAAAGAAGTACAGCCATGGCCATGAGAACAAGTGTTCTTACCGGTGTGACCAATTCAGACAGAATCAGGCCCCCAGGGACCTGTGGTTGACTGGCGTGGAAGATATCTGGAGGCATACAGCATTTGGAAGTGGTTTAGACTCTGCAGAAAGTCCTGTGGAAGTAGAGGGTGGGGTATAAATTAAAATGAGGAACTCAGGAAGGGTTTCCTAGTAGAGCAATTTTGATGCCATCCTCACCAGATGAGTAGAAGATGGACAAGTGAAGTGTGGGGACCCTACGACTCCAGGCAGAGCAAAGAGCATGTCCAAATGCCTGAGAAATTAGTTTGTGCCATGAAGTCAGGAGTAACTGGAATTAGGGCACAAAAGGGCAGAAGGAAAAGATTCTTTGCAAGAAAAACAAGACAACCACCTTTACTTTATGACTGATTTTATATTGTCAAGGGGGTGAGAAGATGTTGAAGAAAAGTTTTAAATTATTGGATGGGAATGTTGGGATGAGATGTAGCGTGGTGGTTTGGAGTTGTGGGGGAAGGGGATGGCGGGAGGGTTCAAATGCCATGCCCAAGGGAAGACGTTGGGAGGGTTTATAAAAAAAAAAATGGTTTATAAAAAAACCTGGATGGAGAAGGAGAAGTCGGTGTTCCGAGGCTGCTGTGGGAAATCTGAACATGGATGTGGGAGCTGACACACTGGGTTCAGGCACAGGGGCACTGACAGAGTTGAGCGCCCAGAGTTCAGCTTCAGGAGCTTAGGAGACAGGGAAGGAGACAGGCACGAGAGGACAAGCGTTCTCAGAGTGGAGCCAGGGGACCCTGGCTTGTAGATACCAAGTGAGCACCCAGTTTGGTTTGTAAAGGATGGTGCTGTTAAAGGTTTCAGATCTGAGAACCAAGAAGAAATGATTGAGTTCATCCAGGAAACAGGAACACCATGACTTCAGAGGCAATAGAGGGAGAAGGGTAGGCGAAGCCCACATGCTGAGGGAATCAAGGCAAAAAGACTCTGGGATGTACATTTGACAATGTTATGAAATTTAGATGGGAAGTGGACAATAGATAAGGCGAAATGGGGCTCAACGCAAGATTTTTTTTTCCCCCTAGATAAATAGGACATTTTAAAGGCGGAAAACAAAGTGATGACATTAAACCGCTCCCAGTGAGAATCATAAAAACAAACAGCATTTAACGCAGAGGGTGTGTGCTCGGCTCACATGGGCTCGTCTGGGTCTTGTCTCTTAGGTAGAAAAGCAGCTGAACGTGAGAACGTTTCACCGATGGACCAGCTCTGCCAACATGCTAGAAAGAGAAGTTGAAGTGCATCTCCCCCGGTTCAAACTTGAAGTCAAGTATGAGTTAAATTCCCTGTTAAAATCCTTAGGGATGACAGACCTCTTCAACTATGGCAAAGCCGACCTTTCTGGAATGTCACCAGCCACGGGCCTCTATTTATCCAAGGTCATCCACAAGTCATACTTGGATGTCAGCGAAGAGGGCACTGAGGCAGCAGGCGCCACTGGAGACAGCATCTCTGTAAAAAGACTCCCGATCCGGGCTCGGTTCATGGCCAATCGCCCCTTTCTGTTCTTTATAAGGCATGTTCACAGCAACATGATTCTCTTCTGTGGCAAGCTCGCCTCTCCATAAACAGCTGGGCTCAGGGTGCAGGGGCAAACCTGTGATTGCCCCGTGGCCAAAATACTGCTCATACCTCACACACCTCTGTGCCTTGGTTTGCTCATCTGCAAAATAGGTCTAGGATCTCTTCCAACTTATTTCATGAATTGACGAACCTAAGCCTGTGGTAATCACGGAAGAAGGTACATTTACACACAAATTTTTCTAGCTTTCTGACCTTTGGGGCCTCATTTGAGTGCTGTCCGGGTGACACGATCAAGTCAATGAGTACCATTTTAAAGAATTAGATTTTCTTGACTTGGATATATATCAGTGAGGTCTTGAATAAGTGACCTGACTGCTCTGCCTTCCGAAAACCAGCTTAAGGGCTTCAACTTTGGTTGGATTTGTAAATATTATAATTTTCCTTGCATGTGTAGATACAATATGGTGAATTTTAGTTCAAAATTCTGTATTGACTAAAATAAATGCATGAAATGCTTTAAGTTCTTTGAAGACTTGTAATACGCTGAAGCTTAGAAGAGGAGACTTTGAATATAGTGAAATATAATTTGGCAAACTTTTTAGTGGAATTTTTGGCCAAAGCCTTGTTAGATACTAAATTGAATAAAAATTTCTCCTCCTCATTCTCCTCCTTCTTTTCTTCTCCTCCCTTTTAAATAATGCAGTGAATAAAAGTTCAGAAGAGCAAAAGATGAAAATAAATTGGAAGATTTTTACTTTAAACAAAGCCTCCTTATTTTCTAGTCAGGATAATAGGGGGCAATAATCAGGTAATAGTGGCCATAATACATACTGCCTTGTCAGTGCTCTCTGGGTTAATGTTTTCTCCCTGAACTCTCTTGGAGGTCTGAGCGTATGCCTATTGGAATAACTAAAATCCAAAACACTGACTACACCAAATGTTGATTAGAGTGGGGAGCAGCAGAAGCTCTCACTCATTGCTACTTGGAATTAGAAAACAGCATTTAGGAAGATAGTTTGGCAGTGTCTTACAAAACTAAACATACTGTTATCATACAACCCAACAATTGCAGTCCTTATTATTTACCCAAATGAGTTGAAAATATGTCTACACAAAAGCCTGTACACAAATGTTTATAGCAGATTTATTCATTTTATTGCCAAAAGCTGGGAGTGACCAAGATGTCCTTCAATAGGTGAATGAATAAAACACCTGTGGTACATTCATGCAATGGACTAGTATTCAGCAGTAAAAACAAACGAACTGTCAAGCCATGAAAAGACATAGAGGAAACTTAAGTGCATATTACTAAGTAAAAGAAGCCAGTGTGAAAGGCTACATTCTGTATGATACCACCTCGTAACGTTCTGGGAGAGGTGAAACTGTGGAGACAGTAAAAAGCTCAGGACTGGGGAGAAGAAGGGAGGGATGAAAAGTGGAGCACAGAGGATTTTTAAGGCAGTGAAACTATTCTGTATGATACTGTAACGGAGGATATATGCCATGATACATTTGGCAAAACCCATAGAATATACAGCACAAAGACTGCACCCTAACATAAACTAGGGAATTTAGTTAATAATAATGTATTTAATTAAATAATAGTACTAATAATATTGGCTTATGAATTATAGCAAATGTATCACACTAATGCAAAATGTTAATAATAGGGGAAACTGGGAGGGAGCCCAAGGGTATATGGAAAGACTGTGCTCTCTTCTCTATTTTTCTGTGAACCTAAAACTGCTCCAAAGATATGAAGACTATTACTTTTTGAAAAAGGAAGTTGGAGGGAAAGTGGGGACGGAGAGCTCCTTGACTTGGATTTCAGAAAACGAAATAAGAGTCTTAATTTTTTTCTCAGATTTTCTTAGATAATATGTGGGTTTTATTTGTATTGTTTTTAATCCTTCTGGTGCTTAAATATTCTTCTGAATTTATCAATGGTCTTTTTTTTCTCCCTTCTTATTGCACAAACACCGAGACCTCAGATCTCTGCTTGGTACCTACGAGTCATAGTGAATCAGGAAATAGATGCTTGCCTAATAGCACTAATAGCATTCACATCCACACCTTTAATGGGCTGGGAAGCATGGTATCCCCTTTTGCACCCAACCGGATTCTGAGTCACAGTGCACCTATGTGACATAGAAAGCACATAGTGCATAAAGAGGGCAGCTTTTGTAGATTCTCTCTGCTCAGGATGGCTCCTCCAGGTTAACTTGCTGTAAATTTAAAAGACATAGTGGGAAAAAATGCCATTTGGACAGCAGTACAGTGAGAGACTTGTGTGTGTACTTACCAACCAGTCTAGTTTTTTTTTCTTTACTTCTAGATCTGTTATTTTTTTCCCCAAAATTTTTAGGAGCAGCATGGAATGGAAAAAGTGAAGGCTTAATGGAGGCCACTCTCAGGGGAAAAAAACTCTAAACTCCTGCTTTTGAGAAATCCAGCTCTTTCTGCACATGCTGTCTTTGGGAATGTCTGAATAGCAGGGTGACTGTAGGCCTGTATGCCAGCCTGGATCCTGGCCTCCTCCTGTTGTCCTGGTGTAAGGACCAATTGCTTCCCATTGCACTCTCAAAAGTGGCTTGATTTGGACGATAAATTTTATGGTCACCTGACTTAGCACTACTGGATGCTGTGCCTTGGTCTGAGGTCACCCTATCAGCTGTCCATTGGTTACCAAAGGCGGTGAAAGGGCTGCTAGCATGAAGCCTCAGTGCTCCTGGCAACAGCCACCCCCTGACGCTCTGCCAGACACCCAACTCTGCTCCCATACTCCTGTCACTCTCTTTCTGAAAGTGCCCTTTGTCTTCTTTCTCTCGGACCTTAATCTCCTAGACAGAGGAAGCTTCCCTTTTTATCCTTTCTTGGGATGGCACTGATTTATTCTTTACGTCAACAGAGAAAGCAGAAATCAATGAAGCTCCCAGCCTGGCCTCAACAAGATTCAAAAAGGAACATACACCTCCAGCCAATATCAGATTTACTGCTCCAGAGTATATGACTTTGAAAGATTCTTTTCATTTCATTATTCATTGATACCCTGATTCATTTCTTTAACAAACATTTCTTGAGCACCTAGTAAGGTTCAGATACCATGTTAAGTCTTAGAGACTTTTAGTGTGAAATGCAAAGCTTCAGCCCTTGTCTTCATAAGCTCATATTTTAGCAGAGAAGACGGACAGACATTAGAATAGTGGTGGCAATTGGGCAATGGGTGTTGTAAGGACATTGTTATGGTCAGGGACCTCTTAGTGGGCATGATTACAAGGAGTGAGGGCTCTCTTCTTAGGCCACTGACTTGATCAGATTTGCGTTCTAGAAAGGCCAGGTGGGCTTCCACATGGTCATATTTAGGCTGGGAAAGATGCAGCCACTTGCCAGCATTAGCGTCACCTTAGTGACGCTAAGATTAGTGTTAGATTCTCAAAGGAGCACACAACCTAGGTCGCTCACATGCACAGTTTACAGAAGGGTTCACGCTCCTATGAGAATCTAATGCCACTGCTGATCTGACAGGAGGCGGAGCTCAGGCGGTGATGTGAGCCCTGGGGAACTCCTGTAAATACAGATGAAGCTTAACTTGCTCCCCTGCCCACCCCACCTGCTGCTTACTTCCTGCTGTGTGGCCCAGTTCCTAACAGACCACAGACCAGTAGCAGTCCATGGCCCAGGGGCTGGGGACCACAGGTGTGGGACCTTTATGACAACGGCAACAAGAGCTAACATTTATTGAAGTAATATCACTACATGCCAGGCACCATGCTAAGTATTTTACCAATTTGGTCCCACAACTCTATGTGACATGTATGGCTACAACCTTCAGTCAAAGATGAGAAGACAGAGACTTAGAGAGTGTCAGGATTTTTGTCTAAGGTCACAGTATTAGTTGTAGAGTCATAATTTGAGCCCGGCAGCTCAGCTTCAGAGTCCATGCCCTGCCCTCAGGCTATCGCTTTAATGACACTCAAGACATTTGTGGAAGATGGAGGAGGGGTAACATTTGCAATTTAGAGAACTGAGTAGTAACTCTGCTTCTGCCACAGCCCCTCGTACAACCCTATAGTCCCTAAACCTTTTAAGCTAAATGACACTAGTTTAGAGACTGTAGATGTGTTGCTGCATTGCTTACCGCAGCAATACGCTCCATACCTGTGCATAAGTTTTCCCCTGGCTTGCATGATAGAATCTTTGACTTTTACAAGCTTATACTTTCTCACCCACCATACAGACACACATTCATTCTCATTCTCTCTCTCTCTCTCTCTCTCTCTCTCTCTCTCTCTCTCTCTCTCTCTCTCTCTCTCTCTCTCTCTCTCTCTCTCTCTCTCTCTCTCTCAGCTTCTTTGTCTGATAGTACCTTCAAGCGTTTGTGTTGGGAGATCCTCTTTGTCTTAGCTCTGATGTCTTTATTTCACGAGGCTCAAGATTTCTACATTCCACCAAACATCCAGTTGCCTAAGAGATGTCAGTCTCTTCTAGTGGCAAGCACCTCACTTTCTATGAGTGCTTTCCTTTCTCTTAAATCCAGCGCCTCACCCAACGGAATGGGGATTCACGCCCCTTCCTTTCCCCACATGAAGAGAAGCAGCATCCCCTTCCCCCTTTCCTCCGAAGAAGCTCTCATTCTTCAACCTCCACGAGCAAATCCTCAGCATCCTTGCTGTACCTTGGATGCTGGCCTTTGAGCCCAGGGTCACCAGACCATGCTCACAGTCTCTCAGCCTATCCTGAATGGACAGCCAGGCAGCCTTCTTTACAGCATAGCAGATACTTGTTATCTGCTAATATCTGCTTTGGGACCTTCAGACAAACTCAGAGGTGAGAAAAGTCTTAATTAACATCATTACATATACATATTCTTTATTATAGGCAAAAGTTGGAATTGGAGTTTTCTGGGGTTGATATGGGGAGGGCTTAGTCTGCAAATTAAGACAGAAACCAAGTAGGGTTTATTTATTTATTTACATTTCAGAATATTATGGAGGTACAAATGTTCCAGTTACATATAATGGCTTTGCTTCTCCCAAGCCAGAGCTAGAAGGATGCACTTCCCCCATACTCCATACCCATTAGCTGTGAGTT